CATTGGGCAGCAATGGTTCATACAGCGTTGTATGGTAAAGCACAGGAATTCACTGATGATTTGAGTGATGAAGACTTCTCTAATTACATTGTTGTGAAGGCGCCTGTGCTAGGTTCATATCATTATATACCTGCCAAATATAGTCAAGAGTTTAAATTGAACAAGCGCCAACTGGGCAGGCTTGCGTAGTCTTCGTTAGGCTCTATACCAAGTGGTATAGAGCAGCTGGTCATTCTAACTTTAACAATTTGGTGCAACTAAACGTTGGTGGATAATCTCCTTGCCGATATCTTTGAGGCTAACCTGATCCTACAGGAACGATCCAATGAAGCTTCTTCCCACTAGTCTGGTATGGAAAGAGACCATCGGGGAAAAACGTTTGCGGTTAATTCAAGGACAGAAGCTGAGAGATACAACACCCACCTCAAGACCAGAAAGGTGCACGAAACAAGATTCTCGACCCAGTATCCAATCTCTACTACTGTAAGCATGGCCACTTCAAGGCCAAAGAGATGTCTGCTACCAATGGTAAGTCGAGTTTTCTGCTACCATTGTTCATTGTTAATCTACAATGAGTCATCACCTCTGATCAGATTAAAGTAGATGCTTCTATGGCATCTTTCTATAGTGACAGTCAAATATCCCTAAATAAGCAGGATTACCCTACGGAAGTGACTACTTTTAGGGATACAGTTGTGTACTGCTCCCTCTTACGAGTGGGCGTACTTATAATTTCTGGCAAGACCACATTAAATTCATCTGTTCTGTTAGAAGTTTATGGAGGGTAATTTTTTCAGTTCCCCTAAGCGGAATTTATGTTAGGAGCCAGTGTTACACTGGCTATTTATCTGTAGGTGTATCGGGGATAGGGGGGAGGGGGTTCCCAATGAGTGTACTTGGGGTTTGGGTGTGGCATGCACCGAGTATATTATATTTTATTCGACGTTCATCACACAACCATTTTGTATGCTCTCTCGACCAGTGAACTGGCAGTTCAGAGTGAAGCAGTTCTGGGACCCCAATGCTGTGCTTATTGCCCAATTCAGTCCACCAATCAGGTGGTCACCAAGGTGTCACCACTCTTACCCACCTGGCTGGGTGGCAGACTCCCACTGCCTACTCATGCCTTGAGTGGGTACTCATACCTTCAGTGGCAATATTATTACTGATATCTCAATATATTAACATTGCATATAGTGTAAGTGATGAAGAATGCATTCGTAAAGAAATCTACCCCAGCTGTGTCTGCTTTGCCCTTGCTCTGCCCTGCTGATTGCCTTATTTTGCTTAGTTTCGAGACCAGGTGCTACAGGTTTTTAAACCACAACCTGTGTTCGTAATGCTTTAACATCAAGCCTCAACGAACTGAGTTCACAAGATAAAACAAGACATTATCCAGTATACACTTTTTTTTTTAACATCGTCCTTCTGGTTAGACACAATATAGTTCAGATCTCGTTAACCAGTGTTCAGACCTGCATTCCATAGGTCGAAACCCAAACTTGAGAAAGTGGAACAAACTGCTAACAGCACTGGTAAAAGAGGGAAGAATTTTGAAACAGCAATATTCTAAATAGTGAAGAAAAATGAAGTGAATATCTTCCCACTATTATCACTTTTTACATATTAGTTCACATTTCTGAATATCTTTATACATTTATGAAAAAAATACACGTAAAACACCTGACAACAGTTTCAACAACGTCTCTTAAAAGCTATGTAACAACAGACTCTACTTTGGCTACTCTAAATAGGGAAAAAGGCAGATACAAAACTCACACATACTGTTAAATACCTGCGCAAGATACAGAATACCTGCATAAGATACACAACACCTGTACGAGGCACATAATACAGAATACCTGCATGAGATTCAGAATACCTGCGTGAGATACAGAATACGAGCATGAGATACAAAACAGTTTTTTTGTTTTTTAATAAACTACTGTCGGTAAGTTTTCTGGTGACGAAGATGGACAACCCTGCGACGTGACTGAGTTGACATGACAGTGGTGGAACTGTGGAAATAATTATAATAAATAGCAGCACGTATTCCACGTAACGGCCGAAGTTCTCGTAGGTCGCATGAAATAGCTATACCGGCCACGAAAAGTAGAGTGACGGGATTAGCATTCTCTTTTATGTTACTGTTACTGTATAGCCCTTGTGGTTTAGCGCTTCTTTTTTATTATAATAATAATGGTAGCTGACATTCGAGCTAATGATTTTGTAGAAGCGCACAAAATTAGAAACCTTTCTTGTGAATGAGTACAGAGATGAATATAGAATTCATAGGAGCAAATTACCTGCTTTAAATTAGGTGGTCTTTAGTGTAAGTCTTTTACAATACACCAGCATCAGGTTTCGTTACAGAATATTTACACTGAGAGATGTATTTCTCAATGTGTGTGTGTGTGTGTGTGTGTGTGTGTGAGTGCGTGTGTGTGTGATTGTACATATAGGTGAATTTACTTAAATTTCAACTTCGTTGATAAAATAATTCTTGAACGTTAGTGTACGGGTGATATATATAGTCTTAATGACTCGCCTGCGGTTGTCAGTCTTCGAATTTAAAAAGCCAATAGGCACCTAGTGCGTTGCAACCGACCCTTCCAGCTTTTGTCGTGAATGCTACAACGCTACCTCGATCTTTTGTCTTGATGTTAAGAAGCCAGTATTATTAATATACCACTATTAACGTTTGTAAATTGCAAGATAAGAGGAATGTTTGTTAGGAGTTGGGTTTTGTTTACTTTTGCATTAATGAATGAAAAAGGAGCGTGGCTGATTGAAGTATTTATTTTAATTTCCTCGTTGGATTTCAGAAAAAAGCGTAGGTAATGAGGTATCATATTTTTCATCTTATTAATATTCACTTAAGAAGTAATTCCCAGGAGTCTCTGAAAAGTTTAGAGAGTATAGCCATTCATGTAGGCTGAACGGCAAATTCTTAATAACCTATGTAGCAAGTGTTTAACTACGTGTTTTGAACGTGGCTGGGACAAGTTCTTGCTAAGTTAAGCACTGGGTAATTTGTGCGCAGAAACTTCCTTGGCCTGCAAAGGGTGATTTACTGGGTGAACTAACTGCACAGTATAATTTGCTAAGTGATCTACCGAGTTTAGCGATGATCTATCACAAGTTTATAAAATCATCTACGAGTGTGTTTATACCCTACCATAAATGATTGTTACAAAATGAATTCTCTGCAGTAGTGCACTGCAGTACTGCAGTGTTTGTGATTGTCGTAGAGTAGTAGGATTCATTTATTTGACCATCTGCTGGTGGTGATATTTTTCTCAGGAAAAATACGTGGCGAGCATCCGCAGACATGCTAGAGAACCCCACACACACACACACACACACACACACACACACACACACACACACATGTTTTGAGACATAATACAATTGAGATATAATGCAATTGTATGTGTGTGTGTGTGTGTGTGTGTGTGTGTGTGTGTGTGTGTGTGTGTGTGTGTGTGTGTGTGGAATTGAATTATAGCTCAAAAGTTTAGCAGTTAGAATCAACAACAAATACTCTACAAAAACATCACCTGCCCTTAGAAATATTCAAGTAAAACACCCCATTAACTGGAATGCCTTATGATGGTTAAGGGTTTTGATCCAAGAAGCTGGAGTTTCCCTCCTTCCCTCGGATCAAGAATGATTACCTACCATTCTCTGGTGCTCTATAACCCTTACATATTTAGCTCCTTCCCATGGATATAATTTTAATAATTATAATGATTTTTAGGTACAATATCGTTGGACTCCTGTGATTTGTAAATTCTAGCTGCACAATGTGGTTGGTGGGTCAACTCTCGCCCCTTGGTCGAGAACAGTGCTAACGAATTTGCCACGTTTTACTGTATATTGGTAGCAATGGTAGGTTCAGATTACACCGTAGACTGATGATTTTGATCCCTTTGCCTTTCGCCGTAGACTAGTGTTATTGGTTCATTCCTGATTCATCGTAGATTCATGGTATTGGTCCATTGTTGTTTCACCATAGACTAGGGGGTATGGCTCCGTTTCTTTCACCGTACACTGATGGTACTGTCCGTGTTTCTTTCACTGTACACTGGTGGTATTGTCTATTTTTCTTTCACCGTAGACTAGTGTTATTGATTCGTGCATGTTTGACAGTAAATTGATGATATTGGTTCATTCTTGCTTAACCGTGGACTGGCGGTATTGGTCAGCTCCTGTTTCTCCGTAGACTGATGGTCCTGGTTCGTTCATATTTCACCATAGACTGGTGATACTGATCCGTTTGTTTCACCGTGGAATGATGGTCCGTTCCTGTTGCACTCGTTCTGTTTTACCATAGACAAGTGCTACCGGCCCGTTTCTGTTTCACCATTAGCTGGTGGTACAGGTCCGTGCCTGTTTACCAGTAGACTGGTGGCGATGAACCAGTCTGGTTTCAGCCCCTCGCTACAGACTAGTGTTGGTGGGCCATCCTAATTAGTTGATCAGAAAGAACCATTGTACTATACTCTCCTTGCTTCAACTATCTAGACTATCTTGAGCTGTGCAGTGTCCTGTTCTTTACCGTTCCATATATTGTACATGTTGATGCTGGCCTTTCTTCACCAAGAGAATATGAGTGGTGACAGAAATTATTCTTTTGTAAGTGATATTGTTAGTCTTACTTAAGTCAGTCGGTACACAATACTAGCAGTAATGGCACTAATTGTAGAAATATGACGACAAAAGATGCTGTACCCTCTCCCTAGAGTCTTAATTAGAGATGAGCTGTAATTAGATATGATCTTAAGTCAGCTGTTAAGCTGGAACACGAAAACTGATGAGTTGATATGTTAGTGGTGATTCTGCATATATAAAGTGAGTACTGTTAGTATCATAAAGAAATGTTAATAACAGACTAGGAAGCAGGTTAGTGGGTACATTATAGGTGTTAGTTGCTTGGTTGGGAGGACATACGTCGTTAGAGCTCGACCACACCTCAAATACTGACTGGCACTCATTACCTTCGTAGCTTTGGTGATTTTTTCCTGGGCTGTAATGGCCTCCTGTGTTAAGTTGGAAAGCGTAGTTGTGATGGTGTCAGTGTCTACCTGTAACGCCAGCACAGCCTCCTTCAGTGTTGTGACTTCCCCTCGAGTGTCTGAGATGTCGCTTGTAATGTTGAACACAGCGCGATCAACTTCGACAACATGTCTCTGTAAGTGGCGCACGGCGGTGGCGAACCGGCTAAGATCGTATGATTTCTTGCGTCCCTGCTGTCGCTGGTGTTGCTGCTGCTGCTGTTGCTGCTGCTGCTGTTGTTGTTGCTGCTGCTTCTGGTGCTGGTAGCAGCGGTGGGAACTCTGCTGAGTAGTGGCGCGGCAGGTGCTGCCTTCACTGCCAACATCACTAGCAGAGCCCATGATGCCACTGGTGTGCTGTATGCTCTGGTTCATCAACATGTTCTCCAGATCATCCATGACTGGTGAGGCTCCGTTCTGTCTAAGAGAATTCCTAGAGCCTCCCCATACCTCCTCCTGCCATTCTCCAACAAGATCATAACCCTGACTATTTCCCAGGGAACGTTTCGATCCCCTGAGGTCCCTTTGCGAGCCCCTTGCATCTCCCAGGGAAGTATGTAACGTTTGTCTACCATCTGGACCCATGGGAGGGTTATACCGTAGTTCCAGGCCGTAAGAGGCGGATCGGGGGGGCAATGGCGGCGGCATCCCCGAAGCCGAGGTGGAGAAAGAATCCGAGTGGGAGATATCGAAGCCAAACTCTTCATCTGAAGAGTAGTTGTAAGCCTTATATGGGAGGGTAGGACCGGAGACTACCATACAGGGGGCACCACTTGTCCCGCGCCCCTCATCTTCCAGCACATCCAGAGACCGATTTATCCAGGCGTTCTCA